CAATTAGCATTTTAAACGCACGGGTCTAAATGGTCTTGCCCATTAATTAACTAAACAAAGGATGGAGGGGGACGGGGGTTGGCACCGAGGTAAAATTACTGGTAGGCGGTTGTTGACTCCCATCGAAGAGGTCCTGGTTCGGTCCCTGTTCGTCATTTGACCTTCACAATTGGACGAAGTGTTCCACCCACATTTGTCAACTCATCTCTCAACCCAGGTGTTTTACCTTTGCAACGCTGAGGACCTGAGGTACTGGTAAACATAATGCGGGTTCTCGAGGAGAGTAATATTAATTAACCTTTTAAAACGAGATCATTCTTTATAATGTTATTCATAATATGGAAGAATACTAATATTACGCAAAAAATGGCTGCTCTTGCAGACTCATACGACAGGTAGGATGAGAACAAGTTTCAAACGTGGACCAAAGTTTGATACTTTGATGCCACATGTATCAAAGTATGTTTGTTGATTTCCAACAAGATTGAGGCAATTTATAAGCATGTTGATGATACCCCACTCTCACAAAACACAAATAATCTTAATACATTATCTATGCTCCGGACGATTTCGTTTTAAAATATATTTTACACCGAAATCACATGACCAGTATATTGGACGTTAAAACAATACTCAACCACACTTATCTAAAAAAATGTTTACGACTATGAACTACTTACGACACCTTACAGCTGACACCTGGTCAATAGTCAAAACTATCCGAGGATACAAAAGTACCCTTCTTCACCTTCAAAATTGGAAATAATATCATAATACGGGCTGTTACGTAATAAAATCACCATATCACCCTTTGTCATCTTGATTTCTCTCTTTCTCAAAAAGTCAAGTGGAACCAGATGTAATTTTCTAATCAGCATCTGTACTTGTCCTAATTGTTCATTATCATCACCACCACCTGTATTGATTAATATAATGTACCTTATCATTTATTTAAGTATGTTTATATTCATGAAGTGACCTCTATCCATCATCGTAGCCTCAGCTGAAAAGTGATCTTTTGATATAGAAATGTTTGCTAATGAAATATTACTCGATTACAATGCATATACATGCAAGGTTATCGGTAATCAATTTACTCATATAAAATATATGAACTATACAGTATACTCTCTAGAATATGTAGTGATAAAGCTGAATATATTTGGAGCTTCTTGTGCTGTTGTCTGCTGAGGATAAGAAGGGCGTTAACACAAATTCTATTAAACAGGAGTTTATCCTCTGCCTCTCAACAAATGCAAATTATACTGCTGCTCCTCCTCCTCCTCCTACTACTACTACTATACTACTACTACTACTACTACTTCTTTCTACTACATGTATATTTGTGTTGTTGTTCTGCTCTTACTAACGCTATTATTAGCTTACCTGCCAACTTTTCACTGCAAAAAATATGCAACTCTCTAGGCAGAATTAGGAATACAGTTTATTTTGTACACTTATCAAACAAAATATTTCAGAAAAAGAAGGAATCTATAACTAGGTTCAAAACCATAGCTTGAAAGCCAACGAATATTCCTCCAAAATAGGAAACGATCGGTAACTATGTTATTAGTACTGTCAAACCTGTCCATCAATGCTACATAAAGGAAACAGGGAACGCGGACACTTTAGACAGGTGGCCTTTTTGGACAGGTTCTACAACATACATTAGCTCTGCATGGTCATCATAGACAGGTAGCCCTTATAGTCTATAGAGAGTTGCTTCTAAGGCAGTTTAAAAAAATTAGTAAGAAATAAGCAAACCAATATAAACAAATGAAAAGAACCGCTATGTTCAGATGATGACAGTAGAATGTCTCTCTACAAAGACATTGTTGTGGACCTAGGTAATTTTAAATTAATATTTCCAATACACTATAGCTTTATTTCTAATCTTCTCAATCTTTGAAGTTCGAGTGACAACTCTATATATCACTATCAAGTAACAGTCGATAATAAATCACCACGGGCGGACATTGAGCATAATATTATGCATGCTAATTTTTCGAACTAAAGTCATTCCAATGCCAAAAATTATTACAAAATAATAGTATTTTTTAAATTAGATCCAAATTTACCATTATTTTAATTGATTGCCTTGAAATATTAAATCCCTTTTTAAAATGCATTTTAGGCAATGGACAGCAAAAGCCATTACCAATGTACATTGCGAAGAATGAGAATAATAATCAATGTGATAAATTAAGTAAAAATGGAGAAGATGAAATACATTTACATTCCATAATCAAGGCATCTTTGCTCTATCAAGGTCATGTTAACAAAATGTACCCCCAAACAAAGTGTAAGTTGAAACGTAGATTACGAACGTGTCGAAGTTTTGCTAGTCCAGAAATAATGTAATTTAATTAACCTTTGACAAAAATCTTGCTACGTTTCATACTTGGGCATAAAAACAAAGGTTTGGGCTCGGGATGCTCAGGAGTTTTGATTTTACTTCTCTGTAAATTTGTAATGTCTACATATTCGTATCTTTGTCATGACTAGAGCACAGCTTTAGATAGTACAGAATACAGATACATCTCAGAACTAGACAAAAATGTACTTGTAACAAACTTCATAATAAAACAACGCGTGGAAATATTAGGGTTCATTTTATTTTGGAGTGGAAGTCCAAGATCAAAAGAGGAATCTTCCCCCCAAAATTAATTCAAATCATTACTCTCACGGTGATCTCTAATGGATTACTTTGTATATTTGGAACAGATTCAACTCCGAAAAACTATAATTACTCCAAGAAAAGGGCGCATTTCCACCTCTCTCTGGGTATGCATTGCCACTGTCTATACCATTTATACAATTCGTAGACCACTTGTGACTTTTATGTCACATACGTTATTGACTACATTAAAGAAAGAACACGATACCATACTCTGTAGCGTACAGTTTCATTCGTGTATATTGTTTGATGTTCAAGGAGTTCAAGTTCAAGCCCTATTTAAGCTTGAATCAGTATTACGAATTATCTTGGATATAAATGTTTCCCATGTTAATTATGTTCGTAATTATAAAATATTTGGTAACGTGAATGGCGCAAAATTATGACAAAATAAGTACGCAATGTATATTTCATATGCAACCTTCTCAGAGCCTCATTGTTAGTTGCATACTTGCATTCTTATTCTTCAATTGAATTATTGGGGGGGGGGGGGGGAGAGAGAGTGAGGAATACCAGTTAGCGCATACGTTTACATCTTGCGATGAAGCAAAATTAAAGACATTCAAATATTCACTAATTCTCATTGTCTATTTTCACTTTTCAGTGTTTCGAGATTTATGCTTTTTAAACTTCTATTACTATATATAGTACCTTGAATTTGATTTGACATGATCATTATTATCCGGGTCTATTTTCCTTGTCACTTCCACACAAACTTCAAAATACATGAACTTCTTTGCATTTCACTATATTATAGTCTAGAAGTTCATATGACACTATGTTGTGACTATGCATTGAATCGTAAAATGTAATCTTCATTTCAGAGTGTAAGATTTATGTACTATGTATGCAAACGTATACCAGAAACCATGAACATTTTTTGTGATTTTGATGTTCGAATCGAACTTTATGGAGCTTACTTTCCGAATGAATTCAGAAACAAGAACTTTGTACATTATTACTTGGAAACAAAGTACAGCATGTTATAGAGTATGCCTAATAAAAGATACAATATACCCATTACATTCACCATATATTGTTATTACACATAAAAACACTACCTGTACTATACGTTTCTACACAGTAAATCGTATACACAGTACTACAAGTTCATAGCTTATCTGTGCGAAGATTATAACGGTACCTCACAGCTATACGAGGCACCATAGCGAATATAACGGTTTACAGCTAGAGTAACGGGGCTCATTATTATGCAACAACTTGAACGAGAAGAGAGGATTATCAGACAAAGGCCTATACAGCCGCTTGGTAGTGCGATCAATAAGTACTTGGATAAACTAGCTAGCTCGTGGAAACAGCCGCCATTTTTTAAGGCAAAGGCATTGCCAACAAATGCCAAGTTCATGCCGAGATTGAAACAAGGATGGAATGTAAATCACATTAGGCATTGAAGTGAATTGAAATGACATGAATGTACAGAATCAATATTCAATAACAGCACATACAGCCAAATCACGTAACAAAGTTATTGTGGCGTGTGCTTTAAACATACACGGTTACAAACTCACTTACACCAATCCCATGTCAAGTCCGAATTCACATACTATTAGAAAGCCATGGTCAGACGATCGAGATTTCCTGGACTATTTATCTTGACTCGAATGCGAAAGCTTTATCAATCATGGCTTTCCATATCACTGGAAAAAACTAACACCTTTTTACTATTATTTAGTAGTAGCTATATACATGACATATACCATCGTCTGTTGCACCTATAATGATTATGTTAATAAGTCCAGAATGCCATCATTTTCAATATCATAATCTTGAAAAGCATGTGCGGTCCGCAAAAACCTCTGCTTTGGCGCGGCAACCAGCCAACAAATCTATCCTTCAACATTCAACGTGGCTTCTACATTCGATGCAATTGTAAATACGATCAGACTTGGCGAGAATTACCATGCGAAAAATCATTGCCATACTTCAAACATGTCAAAACAATAATACTCTGTTAGGTCAATAATAGTATGACTTTATATTCAAAATACTACGATTGTTTGAAACTTTGAACTTTAATATAGTTGTCCTTCTATTCACTATCTTTAAAAATGCTCAAGGTATTATATTTGACAGACATGACAGGCATGATGTTAAATGTTTATCATCCTACGAAAGACGGTAATGTTATTTAGAATATGTTTACCGCAATTAGTTAACCTGAACTCATTAATATCATGCGTTCATAAAACCAATAAACTTGAATGATCTCATTTCAAAACTTTTTTCGATGAACTCTTAGAAATCTTGTTATACTTATAGAAAAGCTGAAAACGATCGAAAAGACAAGTCGGGAATATCTCACCTTGAATTTGTTCTACAGTGGGGCGAGGTGATTCCCCGGCCCCCGTCATCGCGTATGGATTCCATCTCGGATAAGGTAACATATCAGGCCCTGGTCATCGAACAGGGATCATACACGGAAGAAACAGGCCAGGCCAGGCTACAGGGACGTCGAATCGGAAAATGGAAGGACGATATCTAAGGAGTGGCGAAGGAGAGCGAGTTCTAGACTTGGAGTTGGACTTCTAATTCTCACGCTCTCTTTCGCTCTCTTGTCCACTAGGTTTCTAATTATTGCCGTCTGCTATGTCCCCCAATGCACAGCCTACAAACTAAGCCCTAGACAGTCAGTTGCTTTGCAGACGCTGTTGCGTAATATCATATTATTGGTCATACATGCATACACACAAGTCGTGCAAACACACAAATACATCGCAACACAGACGATATACAGTATGTACACACACAGAGAGAGACAGGACTGGGTCTAAAACGATGAGAATGGGATTTAATCACCCAGCGAAACTGTCGAAATCAAGGTTACGGATGAGACCTTGTATATCAGGGAGGGGTGAGCCAGAGAAAATGCGAATCCGCACTGTCAAATTGCAACAATTATCATGGTTACTTGATGCTGCGAAAACAATCTAACACTCAACTACCATATCTTTGGCGAAACCATTAAATTTCCATTGACAAGTTGAAACGAATTCGAGAAAAATTGAAGGAAAACGGTGAGATTTACCTATCGATGCCGTCCCTGTGTTCGATATGAAACTGACCATCCCTCCCCCGAAGCGTAGTGGCCAAGACCTAAGCGGTTACGTAACAGTCCGCTCTACAATTTACCTTCCCCTTTATTCATGACATTGTACACACAAAAAGCCTCGCCCGCTTGTTCGCCTCCTCGCCTCCTCGCCTCCTTGCCGCTCGCCTGAGCGCTTCGGTGATGCCGATGCTTGCCTCGCACGTCGTGTACAGAATACGGCTGGATTTGTGACAAAAATAACACAAGAAAGGGAAAAAGAGAGGGCATAGTCTTTTTCTTTGTGTCGCTTATTTTCGACTCCCTCTCTGAAAAACGGATCTTGAGATTGCTCAGCCAAGTATATAAAATCCTGGATTCTTTTCAAAGTTGGTATTTTGCTTTGATTCTTTGAGCGTTTTCAAAAGAGATTAAGAAATCAAACTCAATTGCTCAAAGAGATATTTTGACTTCTTGTCACTCGTGTGAAAAAAGGTAACTCTGTACACACATTCCGTCTACTTTTTGATGGGCAAAAGTATAGTCTGCATTTCTATGGACGAAAAGAAGGAACGAGAGTCATCAAAAATTGATAAAAGAAATATTAAGAATGAGAGTAAGTGGCATAAAATAGAGTAAGAAGAAATTTTAGCAATATTCTGAATACGCAAAAAAGGGGTTGGATAAAAATGTATAACTAATATGGAAATATAAGATTTTGCCAAAAATTTTGAATATTTTACCCTCTTTGCCTTTGGGTTATATTTTGTCCAATATTGGATTTACTTTAGAAAGAAACAAAATGCATGCTCCCTTTCCCCTCAGTGTTATGTCAAACTTTTTACTTTAACAAAAATTGAAAATGAAATTGAAGCAAGCATGTTTTTTATACTGAAATATGATTCGAGAAAAATATTCCTAAAACAAGGAAATAGAAGTACTTCATTAGGGTTTCATACCACGGCTCGTAGAATTGACCTTTCCATAACAAACTTTTATAACAGACTTACAACCCATCGAATCAAATCTTATAATCCATACAAAATGATACTTCAGAGAGAGAGAGAGAGAGAGAGAGAGAGAAGGGACAAAATAAATGCCCTTGAACGGCTGTATTTGGCATTCAATTTTAGCTTGAACTCTGGCTACTCTGCATAACTACATATTACTGCATACACGCATATTTTTCCAGGAAATACTCCCAAGTGAAAAGGAATTGTAAAGCTTCATGATAAAGTGGGAGGTCACTTTTTATGAACAGGAAACTTTATCAAGTGATAACCGCTGCGTCTTTTTGATAATGACATTGATTTCTGATGAATATCATCATTGTAATAGCCACCTTTCGAGGCAATTATCTCTTATGTTCTTTACTGATATCATTTTGACTGATTGATGGCTGACTATAGTTTGAATGATAGTAAGAAAACTTATAACATTCTGCGGTTATAAGGCCGATAAAAAGGGCGTAAGAATTTAAGTCAGAATAAGCTTTATCAATTATCTTTATGAAAAGAGAAACGCGTGGTACGTTCATTTTGTGGCATGGGCTTTTATAATATTCTGGTGACTTTGATTATCATTCTATTGGGGAGAAAAAAAATTGAAGTCAAAGATAGAAAACGAATTGTAATGGAGCTGAATTTACCTCGGGACAAGCTGAATCTTCAATATATCCTGACTGAATGTACCATGGTGCATTATCTCATAAACTATTACTTTTGTTCGTTTTGTTCATTAAAAAACAACTAGATAATAGTTTGGGGATATCTGGAAACATAATCATGCCATAAAAAAGGTAGTAAAACAATTTGTTCATAGTTCTTAATCAACTCTCTTCTCATGATCAGCTTCATATCTATGAGTGGGACACGATGGTTTAGTAGAAGAGCAATGGACTCTTAAAGGTACTATGTCCCTTTTGCAGCCAACCTCAAATTCTGTAGAACTTTGCAGGAATTATGAATATGTCATGTATGTCCTATCTGTGAAATTTAAACGTTAGCAGTGTCCTCATATTCAAATTATGCAAGGAAATCCGTTTACTTGCTAGACTTCACTGTCAGACACTATTCAGTGACTGACTGGCTTTTTTCTTCTTTGGTAATAACATACATGAAAAGAGTTGTAAAGGGTACATGAGCATTAGTCTACATCAATAACCCACTTCTTGTGATGGCCAAGATTAAACTGATTGAAACTTTGCGGAGCATAAAACGTATGACCATTCGGTACAATTGTCTGAAAATCAAGACTATTACTTTTGGGCTCTTTAGCCCTAAAGTCGATTTGACAACTTATAGTTATTATTTTCCCACTTGAAGACATTTTTAAGCCCCACATATTTTAGGGAAGTTCTAAATAAGTATTATCTTTCAAATGCAGTTGGAATTTAACTTTTTCATATTTTTGGCCTGCAAATGGGACATAGTACCTTTAAACAGGGGTCCCGGGTTCGATACCAATTCGATGCGCTTGTGATCTTTGGTAAGGCATATGTCCTTATTACCACGTCCCTCGGAGAGGACGTAAATCCGTCGGTCTCCTGGTTACTTACCTACGAGCATACTCATGCTTTCTTAGCAGTCGGGTAAAACCGATCAACCAACCAACCAACCAACCTTCATATTAGATAAAAAGTCATAATTATCCACGTGTTACACCCTTTTTACGTTTTTAACTGTTTTTATATTGAATAAAAACGTATATTTTCAAGAATCATTACTCAGATTTATATGTTTTTAAGTTGGCGATGATGGAAAAAAAAAGTTTTTATGTAAATCAGCGTCTTCTATAAACATGACCCAAAATGATGTATTAAATTGTTGAAAACAAATATGATAACTTAATAAGTGATTGTAATAAGCGCGAAATAAGTTTAACATTACAATTTTTGTCACTATATCAGAGCTTTTTATTAGTCGTTTTGTCTTGTTCATCAATTACAAATCCAAATTCAAGTTGTTGTGGGTACTTGGTGGAAAGGGAAAGAAAGAAATTCAACATCACATAGTCCACAATCATGTATGTTATTTGAGGGTCGATAATTACGACGTGGCAGAGCGACCAATCAGGGGGGGGGGGGGGGGGGGGTGCGGGAATGTGTAACATAGCCCTCGCCCTCCCCTCCACCAATAAAATGCTTCTTACATTCCGTCCATTCTCTCTCTCTCCCTCTCTCTCTCTCTCGATCCCTCTCTCTCCCTCTCTCGATCTCAATCTCTTTGTCTCTTACCTCTTCCTATGATACTCATTTCGCAACACATGTCAAAATGTTTTAACATTTAAAATTTTGAAGCACTTGAAACAAATGTTTACGCGATTATCATCTAAAATATATTTTGTAAAAAATCCTCGATATTTCCATATTGACTGCCAAATCCAGGAGCAATATTATTATCATGATATATTCCTGTATCGCAGCCTAATATGTCGACATCACATGCATAAAGTGCGTTTGCCCAGGGAAATGTTATCTGCACATTTGCCTGGTATGTCAACAGTCAACCTTACCAAAATTGGTACTGGCCTTCACCAATAGAAGTTATGGGGACTGTAGAAGGACGGTTGTGTTTTGTTTATGATCTGTTGAAAAGTATAACGTGGAGTTCTGTGTCAGGGTCTTGGGATCGACTAATAAAAAATCTGATTGAGTGAAATAAAAAACTTAGGTACTTTTTCCTCGATTTCTAGCCGATGTTGACGATTTTATTTTTGCTGGCGTTGATGTTGCCTGAGGTCTACTTACCCGAGGGGGGGGGGGGGTACTCATATATTAGGCCATACGGGGTTGTGCCGCTGTAATGGGTCATTTTTTCACAAAAATCCCTAAACTTGGGTCCCACTTTTAACAAAAATATAATTAAAAATGGGTCCGTTTTTTCAAAATTTTCAAATTTTTCGGGTGTTTTGCCATGCAAGCACCCGAACAACACCTGAAAATTGTGAAAAATGGGTCTTTTTTCGAGAAAAATGACCCCTAATAATGGATAAGGGTGTCGAGGCTTGAGCAGCACACCCCCGTCCCAAGGTCTACTAATCTTTCTTTTTCACAGTCAAATAATCTCCTTCATGAATTTTCTACGAATTGAAGCAAGGATGTTATATCAATTCAGTAGGCTTATACTTTGTCATGTGATTTTGAAGTTTCTTTTGAAAAACAGCTAAGGTTTTAAAGCCATTAAAAGATCCCGTGAATGAGTTATCATGGGTCATTTAGCGTGATTAAAAGGAACATGGCTATAATCAAATCAGTCGCCGTTCACCCCATCATCTTATTAGTGAGAAGATGTAATAGTTATTATGGCCGTTACATGCACATAGGCCTTCCGTTCTGCATTATAACGGAACAGTATGATCGGATGTGCCGCGCTTTGCTGGTCGCTTTTAGTCTAGCCACGGGCTTTCATTGATTTTTCACTTTTCTCCAATTATTCTTGCCCATGCCCCCCGTTTATCGATTCCAGCCCGCCACCATTATATCATCAATAATAATGAGTATTGCGGTGATGTGCGGTCTGGACTACAACAGTCCTCTCTTTTTCTTTTTACGATCATCCTCCAAAATAAGATAAAGGGCTAGAGATCATAAACACAGTTTGGGAGCAAAGACTACGTCTGGTCAGCAACGGTAATGCACTCAGCATTTGGCCTTGTAGACATGCAAATCAGTCGGCCAGACGAAGCAACATGAGTGATTTGATAAACAGTAATGGTCAAGCAATGGCTGGTCAACTGGTCAAATGATACGAACCCGCTGGGGCCTCAGCAGTAAATATGCAGATGAGATAGCGACAACGTCCAAGCACAAGGCATTTTCAGCGCGCGGGGGCGAAGCGGCGTCGACCTTGAAAGCAATTAA